CTTCTCCCTCTGACCCTCCTCCCTCTCATGCTCTCTGTCTCTCACTCTCTCACTCTCAAATAAATAAATAAAATCTTAAAAAAAAAAAATTAAAAAAAAAAAAGATTTTATTTTTAAGTAATCTCTACACCCAACGTGGGCTCAAACTCACGACCCCGAGATCAAGAGTGGCATGTTCTTCTGGCTGAGCCAGCCAGGCGCCCCATTGGAAGTTGTATTCTGACACGTTGAAAGCTGTATTGGGGTTCAGAAGTTCTTCAAGTATGGCAAATGAACCAATGGTCTCAGGGCCTCCATGTTAAGTGGTAAAACTCAGGACTGCATATGTACAATGATTCTCCCAAAGGCTAGTCCAGCCAAGATTTCTAGATTCTTTTTATTTTTTATTTGTTGACAGAGAGAGAGAGTGAGCGAGTGCGGCGGGGGGGGGTTACGGGGAAGGGCAGAGGGAGAGGCAGAGAGAGAATCTTAAGCAGGCTCCATGCCCAGTGTGGAGCCCAATGAGAGGCTGGATCTCGGGAACCTAAGATCATGACCTGAGCTGAAATAAGAGCTGGATGCTCACTCCAAGATTTCTAGATTCTCATCACAGCCCTGGGGATATGGATTTCTATCAAGGACCTTGAGATCAACCAGCTTTGAGAACTGCTAAATAACAGCTCCTCTAGAGTTTGTCTTGCTTTATGTGACTGGAAATAGACTTCAATATCTTAAATGAATGTGGACTTTCACTGGTGTTGTATCTTTGTCTTTTCACCGGATTGTTATTCATCCCAATGATTTATTTGATACAGAATTCTTGAACAGGTACACAGCCCCCAATTATAACATTGTTTCCAGGGGGAAACATGATCCACCTTATGACAACATGCTTTATGATATAGTTCCTGGAACATATCCTGACAAAAGGCAATGTCTGCTTGTGCCAAATGTTTACTACTAAATACCTTTCTTCAGATAGAAAAAGAAACCCCCAAAAAGCAGGAGATTAGTTTTCTATGTCTCTCTTTAGCTGGGACTCTTAGCTCTTTACATCCCTCCCCTTAGAACAGCTGAGATTTAAGATGTGCTTTATTTTTAAACAACAATATATAACAACTGTTTTTATTTAAACACTTTCTGGCTTTGCTGTTGTTCAATTCATTGTAAACCTCCACCTTTCGTACATCTAGGCAGTAGAAGACCACTGCTGTATCAGAGTTGGAAAAGAACTCATTTTCTGTCACCTTTGGTCTATCTAAGCATTCATTAGGAGAAGGGGTTCTGAAAAGTTTCTTTGGGGCTCACCTGAAGGTGTCACGGGAGACAGCTGCCTTGCTCTTATGTACATAGCAGACTGTGTGTCCTGCTATGTCCATTTGGCTGAAGCTTGTAATGGGGACTCCAGGATAGCGGACATACTCAACCTGGCCATAGCGCGGAGGGGAGGTGATGACATAGAGTAGTTCCTCGGGTTTGTCTGTTCCATCCACAGCAAGGAGAGTGCTGGTCGTCAAGAAACCTCGGTCACCTTTAGACACCACCAGCGGTTTCACGAGGATGACAGTATCACCTGCACAGCAGAAAAGCTTGCAGTCAAGATCCAAATTTAAAAAAAAAAAAAACGTCCAAAGGTAAATGTAAAAAGCAAAGGCCAAACAGCAGAAATCAAAATTAATATGGTATAGAAAGGTTGATATAGTTATGGTTAATAAAAGAATAAGGCAAAAGACTGGAGCAGAAATGACACAGCAGGGGAAATACACACGGCCAACAAAGATACAAAAAGAGGTTCAAATCTCATCAATCACCGTGGAAACACAAATCAAGATCACAAGAGGTTATGGCCATGTTGTAACTCTTTGATTTGCAAAAATTTAAAATTCTGATGACATCAAGTGCTGAAGAGGATGTAGAGAAGCTCGCGTACAAGTCTGGTAGGAACGTAAAGGGGTACACAATTTGGCATTATGCTGTAAAGAGTAGAATATTCACATACGTCGTGACCCAGAGATTCCACTCCAGCTGTGTGGTGGAGAGAAGCGTACACCGGCCCCCAGGAGATAGGTACCAGAATGGCCACTGCAGCCCTGTCTTCATCGAAAATGCTGGAGACAACCCAAATGCCTTTTCAAAAGGTAAATATGTAAGCAAACTGTGGTCTAATCGTACAACTGAATTGCATACAGTAGCGATATGAATGAACTACAGCCACATGGGACAACACAGAGGTAGCTTGTTACCATTTGTTCCTTGCATGAGCAAGTCCCAGAAAACCATAAACAAAAGTAAGAATGTGAACACAGAATTCAGGATGATGGTTCTCTCTGAAGGACGGGAGAAGCCCATGGGTAGATGTTTATTACTGTCAATATTCCAGTCCTTGAATTGTACAGTGGTTGCGCAGGTGTGTATTATGTATTTAAAAGAGAACAAATGAATGAGTGTATGAAATGTATAAATGAGTGAAGGAGATGTAGGAGATGTGGGTCACATGTGGACGAATGGTGCAGTTTTACAAACTAAGGATGATAATCCAATTTTGTTCACCTCATTCACTTAAAAAAATGATCATAACTCTAATATTGAGCTGCTACTTTGTGCCAGACACAGGGGTAAGGCTGTTTCACTTCACACCAACTGTGAGGTAGGGTATTATAATATTTCCCAGGTTATAAATGCAGAAACTAAGATACAGAAAAATGCTAACTAACTTGTTAATCATGATACAATTAATAAAAGGTGGAGCTAGGGGTGCCTGGGTGGCTCAGTCAGTTAAGCATCTGCCTTTGGCTCAGGTCATGATCCTGGAGTCCCGGGGTCAAGCCCTGCATCAGGCTCCCTGCTCAGAGGGGCACTTGCTTCTCCCTCTCCCTCTGCCCCTTCCCCTACTTGTGCTCGCCCTCTCTCCCTCCCTCTCTCTCTGTCAAATAAATAAATAAATAAATAACCTTAGAAAAATAATAAAAGATGGAGCTAGAATTTGTATTCTAGCCATCTGACTCAAGAGCACAAATTTGAACACTAGATTATTTTGTTGCTTCTCTGTAATGTATCAGAGCTCTTAAATATCAATACTAAAAGAATGAATATCCAAGAGGAAATATGTGTGAAGTAAATGCCAAGCCATTCCTAAATTTAAAAATACAAATTGTCAATAAAATTTGAAAAGACATTCAGTCCCATGAGGAAACAAAAAAATAAAATATCAAGGAGGTACAACTAGGCCAGTGGTTCTCAATGAGTGGCAACTTTGGCCCCCAGGGGACATTTGGCAATGTCTGTAGACATTTTCGGTGGTCATACCTGGGGGTTCCTATAGTCTTCTAATCAGTAGAGGCCAGAGATGCTTCTAAACGTCCAATAATGTGTAAGAAAGTCCATTACAACAAATTATCATCTATCCCAAAGTGTCAATAGTGCTAAGACTGAGAAACTGTTTCAGATGATTAAATTGGTCTTTTTGGTAGATTATTGGTGCTTTTAACTCAAAATGCTATCCAACTTAGGTGCAATGGAGAATCAAAGAGCATCCTAACTTTAAATCAAAACCTGGGCCCCAGATGGGGCTTGCCTCCTGGGAGTCCAGATGAATACATCAAGGGAGTAAGAAGAATGAACAAAACTGGGGACACAAAAATCACCCACAGAATGTTTCACCAGGAGCAGAAGATGGATCTGAGAGGAGGAAGAGTATCTGGGTTTTCCCTCGATGCAGTTTTTCAGCACGGGGACAGCAGAGTATGGTTCAAGGTCAACCGCAGATGATGTCCCTTTAAGCTTCTCTCAAAGATCTCCACATTATTTTTGCCAGTGTGCACATCACAAGACACGGAACAATTGGAAGGCCAGATGTTATTTATAATCGCTCTCAAATGGAGATAACCCAAATGCTCAATATTAGGGTTATGGCTTAGTCTAAGTATTCAGGGTAGTTTTATTCAGAGATGAACAATGACAGTCATCAAGTTATGCTATGACCTGAGAAAATTCACACTAAGTTTTTAAAAAATACAACACCGTATAGATATAAAACACACCACAATGTAAAAAGAAGCAAAGGGAAGGAATTTGGAACTTCTGAAAATACTAGGAGGTTAATAAATCTGTTTGATGTAAGCATTCACAAATCCTTTCAGAAGAGAATCCCACGTCCCTTGTGGCAGAGACTGGCCAGGCGCTCGCCAGCCTCGTTTTCCTTTCTTCCTGGGCACACCGCTAGACTTTCCACTATCCAGCCTCCCTTAATGGGGCATGTGACTATGATTCAGCCACTGGAAGGTGCAGAAGACAGGGGCCTCCAAGCCCGGGCCAGGCATCCTCTCATTTTCCTCCACGTTTCACTTTCATTTCCGGAGAGACTCCAAGGCCTTCAGAGATGAAGGATCTTCTAGTTGGAAAAAATCCCCAGATGGCTGCACAGAACAGAACTCTCCTTCACCCCAGTGAATGCATCATGCTTAGTTGCCAAGGGCAGTCTGTCCTAATACATTAGCTGTCTGCACGATACATTACATTACATTTTGCATTACGTTTTGCCTGGACATGTATTGATGATGAACATAGTAGCCTTCCTTTCATGGAAAGAAAGAAATGCGTACAATAATATCTAGCTTCTCTGAGGGTCCCTTATTGGCCATCTTCAAGGAGCATATTTTACAATCAGGAAACAAGCAAATAAAATACGTTATTTTAGAACCCCAAATAAACATCTCAAAATCGATCAAGCTGACTGAAACTAAAAAGAGAAAGATTCAGGATAATTGTAATTCTGTCAATCAAGAATGCACTGAAGATCCAAGAATATGCTTGGTCCTAGGAATATAGAGATTCTGGGATGATACAGATGAACAAGAAATGAACGTACCTTCTTCACATAAACTCTAAGCAACATTATGGGGTAGTGACAGATGGGTATCAAGGGCTTACACTTTGCCTTGTTGAGCTTCCCTCCCAGTATTTTTTTTTCACCCCCCTCCTTCTACCATTTATATGCTGCTGAGTCCTATTATACCAATGGGTCTGCTTAATTCAAGAGCAGCTTTGTATCTCATCGTGTTCTCCCTTGTCCCCAGAAGAGCTGGTATTAGCACTTTCACAGTGAAAAGAGCAACAGTCTAACCTTTTCAGTGACAAAGTTCCTTTTTGTGATTTTTAAATTTTAAAATGTATATTTCTTTTTATTATTATATTGGAAATGCTTTTCCTCTAAAACTTCATTTTCTTTTTTTTTTTAAAGATTTTATTTATTTATTTGAGACAGAGAGAATGAGAGAGAGAGAGAGCACATGAGGGTCGGGAGGGTCAGAGGGAGAAGCAGACTCCCCGCCGAGCAGGGAGCCCGATGCGGGACTCGATCCAGGGACTCCAGGATCATGACCTGAGCCGAAGGCAGTCGCTTAACCAACTGAGCCACCCAGGCGCCCCTGAAACTTCGTTTTCAAGTAACAACTCTCTTCCTGAAAATAAAATTAGAGTTATCACATTGATTTGGTAAAATGTTACTTATAGCAGAAAACCCTGACTCTTAAAGTAGCCTGTGCTGCCATGTTGTGGGCAAGGCTGGATTTCCAATAGGCTTTCTGAAATTCTAAAAACAACAAATAGATGGGCTACTCTCATGAATCTCATAGCTGCCTGGCAGAGCAGGTGAGGAGTCAGGGAAGCAAATCATAAATGATGGAATTTCAGATACAAAGGATGGAAGAAAGAAAGTCAAAAAGAGAGGGAGGTAGGGAGAACAAGAGTGGGGGAAGAAAGGATGGATGGATGGATCGATGGATGGAAGAAAGGGAGGAAGGGAGGAAGGGAAGAAGGGAGGAAGGGAGGAAGGAAGTGAGCGAGGGAGGGAGGGAGGGAAGGAGGGAGGAAGGGAATTAGTTGAAAACCTTTGAGTGCTTACATCAGCTCCCTTCTGGTTATAAAACTTGGTCCCAAAAAACCTTGAGAGAGATGCTTTTACCTTTTCCCATATCCTTGATGGTGATGTGACAGTCAAATGCTGGTGATCTGTTGTCACCATCCCAGAGGTAGAAGGTGAAGCTGTCTTGGTCCTGGGAATCCATCGCCCCGGTATGTGTGTATCTGAGCAAGTTCAGATCCACTTCCTCCTGAGTGCATTTCATGCCAGGGTAGAGAGGGATCCAGTTCCTCCCTATCTGAAAGGTGCCAGAGTTAGTCAGCCGCCCGTGTTTTTTCTTTCCCAGCCATGTTAGTGGACATTTTCCATACCCCCTGTAAGCCTCCAATAGAAATGATATTTCAGCGAAACTCCAGATGCAATTTTTTTTTGCCATTTCACCTTATTTTTTTCCTTTCAAAGAAATACATTAAAACAAATTAAGACCTTGGGAAAAAACTACCTCCAACCAAAAGATTTTTGACAGTCATGTGGCAGTTCAACAGCGCTGCTACTTCCAAGGAATTTATCATGAGCAATCATAGCTGATTAAATATTCCAATTAATGAGAGCAGGTGGGTAATCGAGCTCCTGAAATTGATTCTTTAAAAATTAAATGTTTCACTTGAGGGTTCCTTTTTTTTAGTTCCTATCATTATACAATTAATCAAACTTATTTTTTAAAACTGGTTTATCACTGGACTTATCTGAAATAGACAAAACAAACAGAACGAATATATTTACTCCCAGCACATTTTGCAGCCTTTACTGAAGCCTAAAGAAAATTATCAAGATCCCAAATCATTCCCTCTGTTTATATCTTGAGTCAGCCAAAAAATGTAACTGCAAATATCATATTTTATTTTTTATCAGAATCTTCTAAAAACAAGCTAACATCAGTCAAGCATATATTCTGTACCAAACTCAGCACAGAAATTGTGGTATTCTCAATTAAAAGAGGTTCTTATGATAGGGGGAACTGACAACTGAGAGTATTCGAAACATAATAAATCTGTATCTGATTTATAATCATTTTCTTGTTATTCTCTGAAGATACATAACTTTCCCTAAGAACAGCTCATGAAAGTCACTTGACATAATTCAAGAAAAATGTCATCTTACAAACTTACTGTACAATATTATCTTGTACTTTTCCTTGTTTGGTTTAAGACACATTAAAATAGAAATTTAAATCCTTGGTTTGTTTTTTGTTTTTTGTTTTTTTCTTTCCTCTGACACATTATTCCACAGACTCCCAGTTCCTGGCAAAAAGGCTTCACCCTCTCCTCTCCTCATTGTGTTACCACTTCTCTTCACGTCCTATTTGATAAAGTTTCCTCCTCTTTAATATTTCTGCTCATCTGATGTTTGTACGGAGGTATGTTCTGCCCCAGTGCTCACTGGGTAAAAGTTAGTTATGTTGTAATATTTAAGGTCATTATGTGTTTCCATCCTAAGATCTATTTGCAGATTTATTTTTAAAACGATCTCTTTTGGGTTTTAAACTGGACAGCCTGCAATTCTATTTAACTTTTTTCTTTTGCAATCTTCCTGAAAAGTAAATACAGAAGAAGATAGCTTTTCCTGTCTCTCATCTCCATGCAATTCCCCATTTGCACTCCCAAATGCCAGCGCCAACTTGACAAAATCATTTACAAGCCCCCAAAGAGGAAAAAAATAAGAGTCAGATTCAAGGTGAGGCAAACTAAGGAAGGTCAACAAGAACATAAGAACGCTTGAGAAAGTCCAGGAGTCCTAGAGTCCTGGTCTCTGGTCTCTGGTCTCGGAGAGGCTTGGCCAAGCCCAAGGGAGCTGGGAGAGAACTACGTGGTGCCATACTGGGAACCTGGACCCATCTGGATTTTCACATACCCAAAATACTTCGCTTCCCATGCTACCCAAATGTGTGAGCTCTCACTGCATTTCTGCTTCATTACTCTTTGAAATGAAATAAGGACACAGCTGTACCTCAATTTAAATCAGTGATTGCTCTTCACTCTGATTCTCTATGGTGCCTACGATCTAAGATAATCAAGCTGTTCCACGCAGAATGAATCCTTGCTGCTCTTCTAGGACTGTGTCGACATTATATTAAAAGTTAAGCATTCAGTCAAATAATCACATTGGGGATGGTTGGTGGTGGTTGTTGCTAGCCTTCATCCATCATTCAAACAAACATTTTGATGGATTACTCATGGGACCTTTTCAAATGACTGATCTGTCCTGTGTGTTGGGCTACTCCTTGGGCATCAACCACACAGTCTGAATCAGACTGGTGAGCACCATTTGTGAAAAGACTGTCTTTTCTCCACTGTATTTTTGCCAAAGATCTGTTGGCTGTATTTTTGTGAGGGTCTACTTCCGGGCTCTCTGTTCTATTCCATTGATCTATTCGTCTGTTCTTTCATCAGAACCACACTACCTGAATTAATGCAGCTTTATAGTGAGTCCTAAAGCCAGGCAGTCCTGTTCCTTTAACTCTATTCTCCTTTTTGTTCACTATTTTGTGCCTTTTGCCTCTCCTTACAAACTTTAGAATCAGGTTGTTAATATCCACAACAAGTGCTCTACAGAGTCTATTTGAAAATTTTTTTAAATCTGTGGGGAATTAAGATATCTCAAAGGATGCCTGGTTCTCATCAGCAATTAGACAACTTGCTTTACCCCCATCACCCCCTCTCCCGAAATTTAGGTTCGATTTCGGGGAAGAGGGAACAATGAAGAACCTTAATACTGATTGAATTTACCCTAAGTTGAGTAAGAAAATTTAGCATGGTGTGAGTTCACCCCAAACTAAGAAAATTAAATTTTCTACCTCTGGGCAAAATGTGGCTATTGGAGAATAAATCCAGTTATAGAAATCTGCGTACTAAGAAAATTTATACCTGCTACATTAGTTTTGAAAAATAAAAGTAAAAAGGCCACTAACCTTGAGTTGAAGCTGCCCATTTTGGGGAAGACTTTCAAACAAATAGTAAATCCTCTCCCTGGGTGAGTCTTCATCTATGGCTGAAAGAATGGCACTAGAAATAATACGAGTTTCACCCATTTTCACTGTTATTTCAGCCTTCCTGTAAAAAGGAAGATGTCTAAGTTGATAGGAAAATAGAAGGCATTGCTTTCGCAGGGGTCATTCACAATGACCATTACATTTCCCAATCTTCAACAATTAGGAAATGCTATTCCCTATGCAAAGTACTGCAAATGCAGAGTCAGACTCGTGAAACAGGCTCTCATTTCACTTTACACATGAAAGTCCTAAAAGACAATCAGTCAGCAACAATGAATGTGGTGTGAAGTAACTAAGTACTTCTGATTGTTTCTGTGCATTGAACTACACCATTTTATGTTGTAATTTATTTAACAGAATGATTTTATTTCCAATATTTCACTGGCTACAACAACAGATCCGTGACATAAGTAAGCAAGATATTATCATTCAAATTTTACAGATAAAAACTTACTTAAAGATTAAATGGCTTAGCCACCGGGGTTCTGGTAGCCTTTATGAAGCACCATTATGAGTTTGGTGATACTTAGGCAATCCATGGCCCTCTACATTACCCTCCCTTTCCCTGGTAACGTTCCAGGTAGTGAGTGTTCTCTTCACAGCGACTGATCTTTTCCAAATACTACAGCTGCCAGGTTAGTCCCTGGCATCCTGAAGATGGGGCTGGGATGAGCAACTGCTGCTTCTACCATAAATATTGCTATTGTGGCTTTGCAAGTCCCCTCTCGTGCTATTCCTCTCCCAGCCAATATAGCCATTTTCCCTGGTCTCACCAAAGTGAGGAAGCGATTTCTTTCCACCTCTGTTTCTAGCTTTCGGTTTTGGTTACCACACATGGCCAAACGCTGTCCAACTTGACAGTTTGGTTTCTGATGAAAACTGGTGAAGTTTCCTCAGGATACAGATAAAGGACATTTCAGTAGCATCAACTGGCATTCCAATAGCCTTCCACGTTCCTGCTGACAAGCGAAAGCCCAGACACCTCAGTTCTAACCTCTTTTACTTGGTGACTTTCTTGCCTCTGCAGGACTGACATCTCCCCTGGTGGGAGGAGGTGATTTTTGCCTACCTCTTTCCTAGAGAATATGAATCCCATTACTCTAGAAGGCCAACGAAGCAGTTGACTGGTTGATTCTGGAGATGAATGGTGCCATTAATAGAAACAGATTAATCAAAACAGGAAGGAGGCCACTGTAATGAAGAAGATAAGGAGTTTGGTAGGAAGAAAAGTGTCAGATTTAGATATGAGAGGGGCCAAAGGAGAAGAAAGTATGTCATAGTCTGAGTTACCCTGAAAGGGACCATGGGACATGACTGTGGTGCACGTCATTTATTTGCAAAGTGATCCCAGGAAGCAAGAGAGAGAAGTGAGGAGCAAGACAGGGAAGGAGGAATAAGGCAACAAAAGGTGTTTTTACGACTATGGGGCTCAGTGCCGCTGGGAATCCTTTGAAGAATCATATAGAATATGCTTCAAATTGTGCTTCTGGGGCACCTAGGTGGCTCAGTCAGTTAAGTGTCTGCCTTCAGCTCAGGTCATGATCCCGGGCTCCTGGGATGGAGCCTGCTTCTCCCTCTCCTCTCTGCCCGTGCTTGCGCTCCCTCTCAAATAAATAAAATAAATAAAATAAAATATTTTTTTTAAAATTGTGTTTCTGAAGGATGGGAGTGTGGGACATTTATTTATGCACTAGCTCCTACAGGTTGAGAGCTACCGTCAGAGTGTTTTCTGCTGTGTCTGCACTCGGGCCAAATGAGCTTCACAGAAAGCCCTGAGGCACAGGACAAGTTCAGCGATGCATCGAGGCACTGGTAATGTGACCCTGACAGTGAGCCTGGTGTGTTCCAGGACAACAGCAACTACAGTCACGGGGGGGACTGAGGGAGCACGACCCAGAGACCCGAAAGCATCTACTACAGCATCTAAAAGGAGTAGCAAAGAAATGGAGTCAAAGGCTCTAACAAGGTCCAGCAAGGACAGACGAGCCGTTCAATTCAGTAGGAAGGCCAAGGGTAAATTTTAAGGGAGCAGCTTTAATGAAGAGGGGGAGGTTGGGCAGAAATGGACAAAGAGCAAGCTATTCCTCCAAATAGTTTGGCACTGAAATAAATGAGGAACTGGGTCATCTTTGTGGCTTTAGGGTGAGAATAGCTGCTAATAATGATAATAAGTAGCACTTAGGAGCACTTCCTGTGTACTAGCCAGTCTTTCAAGCACTTTTATGTATTTTAATTCATTTAATCTTTGCAACCACCCTATGAAGAGGATACTGTTACTATCCCCACTTACAAAGAGGTTGACAAAGAGGTGAAGTGACATGTTCGAGGCCACACAACTGGTTAGTGGCTGAACCAAGGCAATCTGGCTCCAGAATCGGCTCTCTTCACCACTAATTATATCCCTGTGTCTTGTTAGCAGAAGGAATAAGAAGGGAGAGGCTGGAGATGCAAGAGAAGAAAGTCATGGAGCACATCCTGGGAGGAAGCGAGAGGACACACGTGAAAGTGAAAGAAGAGGGAATACAACTTCCGTTCCACAGGAGAGAGGGGCAAAAAAGAAAAGAAAGAAAGAGGAGGAATTTGGAAGTAGAGCTGAAGGAGATTCGGTGATTCTGCCGATGAAACTATGCCAGCCAGTTTACTAGCAAGAACGCAGCACAGAACAGGAAGTCAGTGTTGAGTGAGTGCCCCGTTATTTGACCTGTCCGGTCTCAGTTTTCTCAGCAAGGATAATAATACCTACTTCCCATAATTGTGGTGAGGATTTAAAAAAATGTCTGTTTGAAGAGCCAATACAGCGTCTGTCACAGAGTAAGCACTTAATATAACACCCGTCTGCACCTCCCTTCCTCTTAGATACAGTGAGGTCATCAGAAAGAGGTTTCATCATGCCACAATACCCTTCCTATTTTCATTTTTATAAATCAAGGTCATCCCAGTCCAACAGTCCAGCTAGATCATAGAAAACAGAAGGTTCGGCTGCAGACTTTTAGTGGAACTGATGTCTGAGATGCAACCTTCCAAAAAACTATCATCAGAAGAAACAGACACTTCTCTGTGCCCAGCACCAGACAGCTGGGCCTCCTCAAGCTTTACCCTTATACAGTTGTGTATGGTGGTCAGTAATGCGAGCAATGGCTGGAGCTACAGAAATGTAACTGATAAAGACTCTGTACCCTATGATCGAACTGATCAACTACAGAGGGAGATACCAAGATGGTCTGCAATTAATTACCTCAGAATTTTTAAATGATCATTTAAGTGATCACTTTGATATCAGGTGGCAAGGGAGTATTGATCCCAATGGAACATAGAGGACTGGTGGATCATGAAATAACCAGACGATGAAAGCAATGGAATTTGTACATTTCCCTCAGCCACTCTTGGTTAAAAGTTTGGTCAAACCCACAGGGAGGACTGTCTGCTGTTAATATTATCACACTTTAGTTAAGTCTATACATCTACTGCTCTTTGGTGGGTGTGTACACAGGTATTTAAATACCCAGTACACTGTTCATTCCATACAGTAGGTTCAGTCTTTCTTAATTATTTACAACTAACTAGAACTTTTAGAGGAAAATCAAAAAATTAAAGGGTGAATTTAAGAACTGTTAGGGAGATGTTACATTATCTAACATTTGCAATAGAAGTTCTAGGTGTCTGAGTAGGTGGGACAAGTTGTGATAGACAGGAGCTGTCAGAGACTTGTTTCTCCCTGAAAGACAGACATGACATTTGTACCTAGTCTTCCAGATCTCAGAATTTTCTAGAATATCTGAAAGGGAATCTTTCCAGGGAGCTTACTTGCTCAGCATTGGTTTCTCATCATTAACTGGGGTGATCTCCACTGAAATTGTTCTTAATATCTTATGTTTCCCATCTGACAACTGGACTGTAAAGTCATCACCAAGGCTCTCTGAGTCATCATGCACATACATCAACTTCAGTCCTGGAAGAAGGGGGGGAAAAAGAGAGAGAAAGTAAATCTTTCTTATGATTAAGCCATTTCAAAACACACATAATCTTTTTTAATTTCCAAGGTATTGGTATCAGCAAGAGTTCGTTAATCAGTGCAATAGGGTGAAATTAAACTGTTTTATGAAGTAAGACTGCCCTCTTAATTTGTTAAAAATTCCTGTTTAAACACTTAAGTACTTGATAAGGATTTTTTTTTAGAAATCAGTGAGGAAAGCATATATTACTTAATAAACTATATGAGAACAGTGGTTCATTACTTGGAGAAAATTATAGTTAGATACCTACCTCAAGCCAGTAACTAAAATAAATTCTAGATGAAGAAAAACTTAAATATAAAACTACTTTTCAAAAACCTACATAGCATTCATATGAAAATGCAAGAGACTCAGAATAGCCAAAACAATCTTGAAAAAGAACAAAGTTGGAGACTCACATTTCTCATTTTCAAAACTTACTACAAAACTACAGTAATCAAGACAGTGTGGAACTGGCATAGAATAGACATGTAGATTAATCTAATAGAAGAGAGTCCGGAAATGACCCCATACATTTACAAGCAACTGATTCTCATCAAGAGCACAAAAACTGTTCAATGGGGAAAGAGTGGTCTTTTCAATAAGTAGTGCTGGGATAACTCAAAAACCATAGGCAACAGAATGAAGTTGGATCCCTACCTCACACTACATACAAAAATTAACTCAAAATGGATGATAGACCTCAATGTGAGAGCTGAACTAGAAAAATTGTTAGGAGAAAACATGAGTAAATCTTTGTGACTTTGAGTTAGGCAATGGTTTCTAGATAAGACACCAAAAGCACAAGTGACCACAACAAAACAAAATTTAAAAAGGCAGATAATTTAGATCTCATCAAAATTAAAAATTTGGGGCTGCAAATGATACTATCAAGGAAGCAAAACAACAGTCCACAGAACTGGAGAAAATATTTACAAATCAGATACCTGATAAGGGAGGGTCTAGTATTGCAAATACACTAAGAACTCTTACAACTCAATGATAAAAAACAATCCAATTACAAAATTGGCAAAAGATTTGAGTAGACATTTTTCCAAAGAACATAGACAATATGTTCTCTTTCCATGTAAGAACATAAACAAATAGCCAATGAACTCATTAAAAGGTCCTCAACACTATTAGCTATTAGGGAAATGAAATCAAAATCACAATGAGATATTATCTCACACCCACTAGGATGGCTATCATAAAAAAATAGGCAGTAACAAACGTTGGTGAGGATGCATAGAAATTGGAACTCTCATACATTACTGGTAGGAATGTAAACTGATATCATTACTTTGGAAAACAGTTTGGCAATTCTTCAAAATGTTAAACATAGAGTTATCATATGACCCAGCAATTCCACTCCTAGATACACACCCAAGAGAAGTGAAAGTGTATATCCATACAAAAACGTATACATGAATGTTCACAGTCAAAAGTGGAAGTGACAGGACACCTGGGTGGCTCAGTTGGTTAAGCATCTGCCTTCGGCTCAGATCATGATCCCAGTGTCCTGGGATCAAGTCCTGCATCGGGCTCCCTGCTCACCTGGGAGTCTGCTTCTCCCTCTGCCTGCCACTCCCTCTGCTTGGGCTCCCTCCTCTCTCTCTCTGACAAATAAATAAAATCTTAAAAAAAAAAGTGGAAGGGACCCAAATATCCATCAACTGATGAGCGGATTAAATAAATGTGATATGTCCATACAATGGAATATTATTTGGCAATAACAAGGAATGGCATAGTACTGACTCATGCTACAATATGGATGAATCTTGAAAACATTATGTTAAATAAAAGAGACTAGTTACAAAAGGTCATATATTCTATTTATATGATTCTGAAATGTCAGAATAGACAAATCTATAGAGACAAAAAATACGTTACTGGTTGCCAAGGGTTGAGGAAGAAAGAGATAAGAATGACTGCTAATGAGTATGGTATTCCATTTCGGGGATAATGAAAGTGTTCTAAAATTGATCATGATGATGGATGTACTAAAAACCTCTGAATGGGAGGCTTTAAAGGGGTGGATATTATGGCATGGGAATTATATCTCAATAAAGCTCTTTTAAAAGATTGGAAGAAAATACAAGTAAATATTTTATTTCTGAATGTAGAACATCTTCCTAATACAAAAACAAAAGAAAAAAATGTAAAGAAAAATAATGATAAATTTTGCCACTTACAATTTGTGATTTCTGTACTTAAGAACATGAATTAAAAGGCAAATAGAACAGAGAAAAACTTACCTGTAATATATGTGACCAAAATGTGAAGCATCAGTATTTAATAATCTCTTATAAGTTAATATAAATCAATGGAAAAATGAGCAAGAGACATGATCAAGCAATTTACAAAAGGTGAAACATAGATGGTCACGAAAGTATGGTAAATCTTACTCATAATTTAAGAATTTCAAATTAAGATAACAATGAGAGACTGCTATTGACTAGCAAATACACAAGAGTTTTAAAAAATATCCATTCTTGACTAGGAAAATAGGCATGCTCATGCATATCATGGAATGGCAATTTTTCCCTAAAAGTATTATAAACACTCACCTTTTTTACCAAGTAATTTCATTATAAAAATTTATGCCAAAAAAATTCTAAGAGATGTGGACTAAGATTTATGTTACGAAAATATACGTAAAATATGTTTTATTTATTTATTTAAAATATGTTTATTTTAAAATATGTTAACCTGTAATATCAAGAAATGAAAAGCTATCTGCATATTTAAAAACAGAAGACGGTTGTATAAAATTACAGTGCGGTATGTCCATGCAATGAAAAGCTGGAATTAGAGCGCCTGGGTGAATCAGTCGGTTGAGCGTCTGCCTTCGGCTCAGGTCATGATCTCAGGGTCCTGGGATCGAGTCCCATGTCGGGCTCCCCGCTCAGCAGGGAGTCTGCTTCTCCCTCTCCCTCTGCCCCTGCCTCTGCTCTCTTTGTCTCTCTCTCTCAAATAAATAAAATCTTTAAAAAAAAAAAAAAAAGCTGGAATTATTGCAAACCATGTTTTCAATCAGCACCTAAAAAGTAAGAAGTTTCTTATAGTTGATAAGGAAAAAAAAAAAACAGATTATATAATGTGGTTGCAGTTTTATAAGTCCTGTATGTTTGGGGTGGGGGGATGTATGTGAAAATATACTAAAGTTTTTTAAAAATGTAGCCATAAATGAGTCAAAAACAAAGATGAAAATCTAATCTCTGAGAATGTCACCAAGTCATTGACCAAAGTATTAATTTATGTAAACCATTTATTTTTTCTTCAAAATCATTGTATAGTGCAAACTTCACACAATATGCATGCTTATTTAACTTAATAATATAATAAATAAAAATATTTAACCAAATTAAAAAAGCAGACTTTCTTGAGACTAAAATTTGAATTATTATTCCTTTTCCTTTGTCTTAAATTTGAAAAGAAAAACACTGTAACAACATATTGTATTATTTGATACACATGGTTATTGATTTGGTAATATCATCACTTAAGTCCCAGAGTTTGTTTCTTGGCAACTGATAAAAACTGAGAAATACATGAATTAATTTTTCAAACTCCAACGTGACACGATGGGGCGCAACTATTGCAAAATAAACTATGGGACAGAGCGCTTACCCTGGTTGGGGAATGGGGAAAATGTAGACAGAGAAAGGTGCTAAACCCGTGCCGGATGGAGCCAAGACAGGAAAGGGAAGGTCTGGAGTGCCTGGTGGGTGGGTGGGGGTTGGGGAGGCTCCTCAGGGAGGTCAGAGGTTACCTGGTTCTGAAGGCACGGTGTAGGCTGACCCAGCAAACGGGGCTCAGGTTGGAGAAACAATATGTGAAGGCAGGAAAGAGAGTGAGAGTAGGCAGTGATTCTAGAACCACCCTTTCCCCAATATTTGAAAGTATGTTTATATTTGGAAAATGGGATAAAAATTGATTTTTTTAAAAGAGTAATTAAAATATAATTCAGGCTGCTCTTCCAGTGTGTCATTTCCTTAAAGAACAAATTATCTCCACAGAGAATAATGAGCTATTATATGTGGTTCTATATGCCTTTCAAACATAGAAATTTTGGCCGACAAATCTCTTCAAAGTTAGATCCATGATCTCAGTAGTTTTAAAAAGGAATTTTTTATTATGACATGAAAAAGTTGAAGCTAAAATACCCAAAATCACAAGTATCATTTTCTTTAAAGATTGATTTATTTATTTGAGAGAGAGAGAGCATGAGCAGGGGGAGGCGTAGAGGGAGAAGAGAGAGAGAATGTCAAGCAGACTCCCTGCTAAGTGCAGAGCCCAACACAGGGCTCAATCCCACAACCATGAGATCATGACCTGAGCCAAAATCAAGAGTCAGACACTTAACCGACTGAGCCACCCAGGCACCCCACAAATATCATTTTTAGTGATGCTCCCAAAGTGAAAGAAAACATATTAATTCCTTTTTAACTACCCACTATCTGTAACTGAGGCTCCATGCCCTACATTAATCCAGAGCTCAAAGAAAACCCTTGAGGGATAAATGAATAAAGTAGTTGAATGCCATTTCTTCACTTCCTGTATCTGAGGCTTATTATTATCTTTTCTGGGCTAAATTATTAAATCATCAACAATAAATGAATAGAAGTGGAACATGATCTACCATTCTTGAGAAGTTCCAAGGAAAAGTTCTGAACAAGTTCATGCTTCTGGCCAGGGTTGACAGGCTGCTTATTTTGAGGAAAGTCTTTGCTAAGCACCCCATTGATGAGGAGGCCATGGCGTGGTTTATGAGTGATGCTGAACAGCAAAGGGTCCTTGGGAACATCTAGATCAGCAGCGTTGATGATGGAGGAATCCAGTTCTTTCATCTGACCCTCACACACCTAAGCGAAAACAAGTCAGAAAGTCAGCTGTGTCAAAATAAAATTTGTCTTTTAGCAAATGGCTCAAAAGAAATAATTTTAAGATATCCTATTGCAAATTTTCTATGAAATGTGTGTGTAATGAGTCCTTAAAAGAAATGGCTGGTTCGGGGCGCCTGGGTGGCTCAGTCGTTAAGCATCTGCCTTCAGTTCAGGTCATGATCCCAGGGTCCTGGGATCAAGCCCCGCATCGGGCTCCCTGCTTGGTGGGAGGCCTGCTTCTCTCTCTTCCACTCCCCCTGCTTGTGTTCCTGTTCTCGCTATCTCTGTCTAATAAATAAATAAAATCTTTAAAAAAAAAAAAAAAGAAATGGCTGGTTTAACATGAGCTTAGAAGAAAAGAATAAATCTATTAATCTCTCTCAGGTTTTCTCTGAAGATTCCAAAGCAGTTTATTCATTTCCCTAAAGGACAAAAGATACACACACACACACACACACACACACACACTTTTTTCCCCATAATTCAAAGGTCAGGGGAAAAGCAATCAAAAGAATGCTTGCTTCCTGGAAGTCAGAGAGTTCAACTATAAAACTAAGGGTAGACCCTTCACCTTCAGATCCTAACCTGTTATTTTAACCTCCTGAACCATGCTGCTTTCACAATTCTTATGTTTCTGCTTTAGAAATGGTATGAATGTCTGCTATATGCATTGGGGGTATTTTATGTTTCTAATTTTTGTCACTGCGGGAAAACCTTCTGTATTTCAGTTGCAATCAACAACAATCAAGAAGGATGTTTCTGTATGCATAATAGTGTTTATTTTAATTCTGGATCCCTCACCTCTCCCCAGTCCTCATGCCTCAAATTTTCCTGAACCACCTCCTCCTACGCCCACCCCCCACTTCGGGTGTCATAATCCTTTAAACACAAAGAGAAATGTTATTCATCTCAAGTAGGATCTAGCCATTTAGAACTTGACTAGCTGTCTTGATCTTTTTCTCACAGCAAGAATAAAGAGAACAAAGAAATATTTGTTTCCTCTTTTGAAACAAAGCAAGACCTAAATAATCAGAGTGTATACACTGAACAGATGCTTATTGGTAATCTGCAATGCACTGGGCCTCGTGCTGTGGGGAATACGAATATTCTAAAGAATCAGAGTCAGATGAGACCATGAAGGCCTGTCCATCAGTAATTATAAAGCAAGGAAGAAAATTATCTAATGCTACTAAATATGGATAAACAGGAAGTGCAAAAGGGTGGAGGAGACCAGGAGTGTCTTCATGGCAGAGTGAGCACGTTAGCCTTGAAGGATACATATGGTTTAGATTTGTGAAAATGCCCTTTCTCTTCAGCCTCTCTTACTGAGAGAGGCTTCCTGTCACTAGCGTCTGTCTATGCACTTGCGTGAAGAAGAATCACTTGCCATTCTGATCCTTGGGTGAAAATGATTCTGGTTTTCTTGTATCTGGCCTTACTTATAAAGACTAAGATGGCATCATCATTTAATGTGCAATGATATAATTATGAAATCATCTTTGATGGTAACTTGCCTTTTTCTCCAACAATTTTAATAAAACAACCTAAAATGTATTCTAATTATCCTTCTTCATAAAGCTTAGGACTCCTGGACTAACTATATGGCAACCTTTCTCATTTATAATATGGTAAATTACTTCACAACATGACTGGAACATTTCATTGAAAAAATTGGGATTCTTTTTTGCACCTTTTGTTTACTGAGATCCTAAATAAAAGGTTTAGATCAAAACACACAAAATACAGAAACTCACTAGTAGAGCAGTTTGAAATGGATTAGAATACCTTAAACTAAAAGCTCCTATTTTTTTTTTTCAAGTTGCAGCCCAACCTGATGGAAGCTTGACTGTCTACAAGATAAATGCACTTTTCCACAAGAAAGCAAAATAAGTGTGACTATTTTTAAAAATCACGTGAAGCTTAAAGCCAGCTCTGCCCGTAACACATGGGGCTCTGTATCTGTTACTCTTCAACAGCTTCTGTAAGGAGTGCACAGGTAAAACGCATGATTACTTTCAGAGAAGAGCAAGGGACAATTTCCCGGCAGCCTAATTATTTCAGAAACTCCAACCCTAGGTAGATACAAGACAACAGAGGTAGGTATAGAAGGAATCATCTGCAGAGTTCTTCCTCTCTCTCGTAATTACTGACGTGCTCTCCAGAGCACCCCATGCGTCCAGGGAAAGGGAAGGGTACGAGCTGGCTCTTAAATTTCTTCGCAAAGTGACTCTCATGTATCATTAAGAGTCAATAGACAATTCAAGTCAAATAAAGATTTTTGCCTTTAGAATCTGATAATTTTCAGTGACAAATAAGGCTAGATAATGGCTTCAGAACAGATAATACTGGCTTTGGTAAATGGTCAGAAAAAAGATGGCAAAGATAACAATAATATGAACAGGACCTACTTACTAAGGGACTAGTGTGTGCCTGACCATCTTGATCATCATGGTTACATCTTAAGGATCTGATACACATTTTGCAGATAAGGAAACGAAACAGAAGTATAGAGAGAAATAACTTATCCAAGACCCTACAACCAGAAAATGGCAATACCCAAGTCCCTCTTAATTCCAAAGCCTGTGCTCATCCATTTAATCAAGATTTGCTGTACCTATGTCTGAATTAAATAATCATATATAAAAAATAGAATTGTTTTAAAAGATTATATGCTGATGTGAAAAGGTTTCCAATATACATAATTAGGTTTTTTTAAGAAGTGGAGAGTAGGAGGTATAATATGATCCCTGATTTATAAGTAAATACAGAAAAATTGCATATATATGACATATATATACACACACATACAAACATACACATCACTGGCATGTGCACAAATTATTTTTGAGGAATTACTAAAAAAAAATCATGGGCAGTGGCTATGGGTAGAGGCTGTTGAAGAGGGAGACTGTCATATTTTATATTTCATTGTGTATGTTTCTCAATATTCTAACTTGTATAACTACATATTTTTATTACTATGTTTTTAAAGACAACAGGTGTTATCTGAGGAGAGATATTTATGGCCATTTTAACTATCTATCTGAATTTTTAAATAAAACTAACAAACATTATCATATAAAAATAGTTCTAGAAACTACATAAAAAGAATGATTCAAATTGTATTTTTTTCATTTCATCTATCCTTATAAATAGCTATATGAAGAAGCACCTGGGTGGCTCAGTCGGTTAAGTGTCCGACTCTTGGTTTCGGCTCAGGTCATGATCTCGGGGTAGTGAGATCGAGCCCCCATCAGGCTCTGTACTCAGCTCGGAGTCTGCCTGACGATTCTCTCTCTGCCTTTCCCTCTGCCCCCCTGCTCATGTGCTCTCTCTCAAAATAAATAAATCTTTAAAAAACTATATAAAAAGATGCCTTAATATATATGAATTAAGAGTCCTTGTCATTATAGCATAGGTTAAGAGGGCATGCTATGGAATCAAACTGCCTGGGTGCAAATCCCCTATGTACCATTCCCTATGTGCCACCTATTTCCAAGCTCTGTGATGTTGGGCCGCTCAGTTAACCTCTCTGTGCCTCATTTTTTCAGTTACTAAAAGGCAGTAATAATACCATCACCCTAAAAGCCTTGTAAGCCTTTACATGAGCACATGTAAAGGACTCGAAATACTACCTATGACCTAGCAAGTACTCCATCCTATATCTATGCAACTATAATTGCAGCCATGCAATTCTCTATGTTTGCAATTATAATCATTACCACCATTATTAGAATAATATTTTTCAAGTAATTGCATTCTATAATATAGGTTACTGTTCTCCCCATTCCCTATCAACTTAATGTATTAAGTGCACCTGGACCAATGTAAATGAACTAGGTGAAAATAAAATCATAAAATGATTTAAAAAATTAAAAAATGATAAAAAGAAGAAATTGAAAATTCTGTTGTCTTTCTTACAGTAATATTCTGCACTACAAAGTCAGGAGCTTCATCATTTGTGGGGTTGATGATAATGTAAAATGGTATCTCCAAGGAGCGTCGCTTCCCATCTGTGACATACACCATGAACTGGTCAGCTGTTGGTTCCATCCTCAGATGCCTGGCCTGCACATAGTTAATATGCAATGCTTTCATGTCTTTCCACTGGAACGAACCTAGAGCACACCAACACGGAGCAGGTAAATAAGAAAAACATTTTTTTTCCAAGCTACTGGTTCTTAATCCTTAACCCAATAGCTTATTTCTCAGAAAAGCAAATAAGAGATCATTGCAGTTGACCTAAGAATCAGCTATCAGGGGTTGCTATAATGTCTTTCAGCCATCAACATAAAAACAGATATCCATAAATCATAAGGGAGGATTACAATTTGCACAGAGAACAGAAGGGCGATAACTGCTAACCAGAATGTGTAGGGACTTCATGACTGTTCTTTATATAGTTAGAACAAAGGTAAGAGAGACCTTCCCTTGATTAAAACCACTGCCCCCATATAAATAGTTCTTGGCATGCTTGAGTAAGAAAGAGACTATCTCTTTCATACAAAGGCAAAACAAGAGTCAATCATCTGCCTACTTGACGTACACATCAAGCAACAGGTTGGATTGAATGGAATTAGCTGACCTGCTGTCTTGGTATTTTGACATTGCCCTAAATCAAAAGAGAAAAATGCTCTATGTTGAGCATTAAGTCACAGGCCAAACTGCGTACCTTTAATGCAATAAATCTTTTCCCCGCAGCTTTATTGAGATATAACTGACATATAACATTGTAGGTTTAAGATTTAGTTAACACATTATCCACCTCACGTGATTACCATTTTGTAGTTTTTATAGTGAGAACATTAAAATTCTACTCTCAAATCAACTTTCAAGTATACAATACAGCATTAATTATAGTCACCATGCTGTACCTTAGCTTCCTGGAAATTATTCCTCTTATAACTAAAAGTTTGTACCCTTCAACCAGCAACTCTCCATTTCTCCCACCCTTCAGCCCCTGGTAACCACTATTCTACTCTGTTTCTATGAGTTCAATGGTCTTAGATTCCACATATAAGTGAGATCATACGGTATTTGTCTTTCCCTAATGTATTTCACTTAGCATAATGCCGTCAAGGTCCATATATGTTGTTGCAAATAGCAGGATTTCCTTCTTGTCATGGCTGAATAATATTCTATTATGTATTTAATATCACATTTTCTTTATCCATTCACCCATCAATGGACACTTAGGTTGTTTCCATGTGTTGGCTATTGTGAATAACGGTGCAATGAACATGGGAGTATCGATATTTCTTTGATATCCTGTTTTCATTTCCTTTGGATATATACCCAGAAGTGGAATTGCTGGATCACATGATAGTTCTATTTTTAATTTTTTGAGGAATCTCCATAGTGGCTGTGCCAATTTACATTCCCACCAACAGTGCACAATGTTATCTTTTCTTCGCATCCTCACCAGCATTTGTTACTCTTGTCTTTTTGATAAGAGCTGTTCTAACAGATGGGAGGTGATACCTCTTTGTGGTTTAGATTGGCATTTCCCTGATGATGAGTGATGTTGAGCACCTTTTCACGTACCTGTTTGCCATTTGTTTGTCTTCTTTGGAGAAATGTTTATTCAAGTCTTCTGCCCATTTTTTAAATCAGATTATTTGCGCTTCTTTGCTATTAAGCTGTAAGAGTACCTTATACATTTTAGGTATTAATCCCTTACCAGATATATGGTTTACAAATATTTTCTCCCATTCCACAGTTGCCTTTCCATTTTGTTGATTGTTTCTTTTGCTCTGTAGAAGTTTTTAGTTTGATATGGTCTTACTTTGTTGATCTTTGCTTTTGGTGTCAAATCCAAAAAACCACTGCCAAGACAAACACCCAGGAGTTTACCACCTATATCTTCTTGTAGGAGTTTTATGATCTTGGGTTTTACACTCAAGTCTTTAATCTATTTTTGAGTTCATTTTTTTGCATGGTGTAAGATAATGGTGCATTTTCATTCTTTTGCATATGGCTGTCCAGTTTTCCCAACACCATTTATTGTCCTTTTCCCATTGTATATTCTTGACTCTTTTGTCATAAATTTAATGACCATATATGAGTGGACTTACTTCTGAGCTCTCTATACTGTTCTATTGAGCTACAGGCCTGTTTTTATGCCAACACCATTCTGTTTTAATTACTATAGCTTTGTAATATAATTTGAAGTCAGAAAACATGACGACTCCAGCTTTGTTCTTTCTCAAGATTGCTTTGGCAACTCAAGGTTCCATAGAAATTTTAGGACTGATTTTTCTATTCCTGTGAAAAATGTCATTTGAATTTTGATCGGGATGGCATTGAAGGTATAGATTGCTCTGGGGTAGTATGGACATTTTAACATTAACACTTTTGATTCATGAATATATCTTTCCATTTGTTTGTGTCTTTTTCAATTTCTTCCATCAGGACATCAATTCTATGTCTTCCAGTTTTTGGTGTATAAATCTTTCACTTCCTTGGTTAAACTTATTCCTAAGTATTTTATTGTTTTTGATGCTATTGTAAATGAAATCATTTTATTTCTTTTTCAGGTAGTTCATCATTGGTGTAGAGAAATACAACTGATCTTTTCATGTTCATTCTGTATCCTAAAACTACTTAATTTGCTGACTTGTTCTAACAGTTTTTTGGTGAAATCTTTAAAAAAATTGTACATATAACATCATCCCCAAACAGAGCCAATTTTACTTCTTCCTTTTATTTTTATGCCTTTTATTTCTTTTTCTTGCCTAATTACTCTGGCTGGGACTTTCAATACTATGTTGAATAGGAATGGAAGGAGTGGGCACACTTGTTTTGGTCCTTATCTTGGAGAGTAAGTTTTTAACTTTTCACTGTTGAGTATGATGCTAGTTGCGAATTCATCATATATGGCTTTATTATGTCAAGATACATTACTTCTATACCCAATTTGTTGAGTTTTTATCATAAAACATTGGTGAATTTTGTCAATTGCTTTTTTAGTGTCTATAGAGATGATCATAGAATTTTTGTCTTTTCTATCAATGTGGTGTATCACATTTATTGATTGGCATATGTTGCCATCCTTGCATCCCTGGTATAATTTCCCTTTGATCATGGTGTATGATTCTTTTAATGTGCTACTGAATTCAATTTGTTAATATTTTGTGGGGAATTTTTGCATCTATATTCTTCAGGGATATTGATCTGTGGTTTTTTGTTGTTGTTTTTTTCATAGTATCCTTACCTGGCTTTGGTATCAGGGTAATTCTGGTCTTATAAAATGAGTTTGGGAGTTTTCCTCCTATTCAATTTTTTGCAAGAGTTTAACAGTAGTATTAATTCTTCTTTAACAATTTCATAGAACCTGTAAAGACATCTGGTCCTGGGCTTTTCTTTGTTAGAGGTTTTGAATTACTGATTAAATCTCCTTACTTATTATTGGTCTATTCAGGGTTTCTAGTTCATGATTCAGACTTCATAGATTTTATGCTTCTAGGAATTTATCCATTTCTTTAGGTTGTCTAGTTGGTTGATGTATAATTGTTCATAGTAGTCTCTTATGATCCTCTGTATACTTGTGATATCAGTTGTATTATCTCTTCTTTCATTTCAAGTTTTATTTATTTAAGTCCTCTCTTTTTCATGGTAAGTCTAGGTGAAGGTTTGCCAATGTTGTTTATCCTTTTGAAAGACCATGTCCTAGTTTCATCAATCTTTTCTACTGTTTTTCCAATCTCTATTTCACTTATTTTTACCGTGATCTTTGTTGCCTTCTTCTTTCTGCTAACTTTGGGCTTATTTTGTTCTTATTTTTCTAGTTCCTTGAGTTATAAAGTTAGGTTGTTTATTTGAGATCTTTTTTCTTTTTTAATGGAAGCGTTTGTCACTATAAGCTTCCCTCTTAGCATTGCTTTTGCTGCATCTTAGATATGGTATGTTCTGTTTCCATCTTTGCTTCAAGATTTTATTTATTTATTTATTTATTTATTACATTTTTATTAAGAAATAACTGACATACATAACTGTGTAAATTTAAGGTGTAGAGCATGATGGTCTGATTTACATATACTGTGAACTGATTATAATAGGTTCAGCTAACATCCATCTTCTCATATAGATATGATTAAAAAAAGAAAGAGAAAAAAGGAAAAAAAATTGTCCTGTGATAAGAATTCAGGATTTTTAAAAAATTTCATCTTTGACCCATTGGTTGTTCAGGAGTATCTTAAATTACACATATTTGTGAATTTTCTACTTTTCCTCCTGTTACTGATTTTTAATTTCATACCATTGTGGTCAGAAAAGATACTTGGTATGATTTCACTCTTTTAAAATTTGCTAAGACTTGTTTTGTGATGCATGATATGATTTATCCTGGAGAATGTTCCACATGTACTTGAGAAAAATGTGTATTCTGCTTTTGTTGGATGGAATTTACTGTATATGTCTACTGGGTTCATTTGGTCTAATATACAGTTTAAGTCCACTGTTTCCTTGTTGATTTTCTGGCAGATGATCTATCCACTGTTGAGAGTGGAGTACTGAAGTCCCCTACTATTATTGCATTGCTGTCATTACTTCCTTCAGATCTGTTAGCATATGCTTAATATTTTAAGGTGCTCCAATTTGTATGCATATAATTTTACAATTGTTATATTCTCTTGATGAATTGACCCCTTTATCATTTTACAGTAACCTATGTCTCTTGTTATAGTTTTGACATAAAGTGTATTTTATCTGTTATAAGTACCCCTTCTCTCTTTTGGTTTTCATTTGCATGAAATATATTTTTTCATCCCTTCATTTTGAGCCTATGTGTGTCCTTGAAGTTGACATTAGTCTCTTGTAGGCAGCATGTAGTTGGGTCTTGTTTTTTTCTATCCAATCAGTCATTCTATTAACTCAATTAATCTTAAACGTTTATTTTTAAAAATTTTTTATTGCTATGTTAATCACCATATATTACATCATTAGTTTTTGATGTAGTCCATGATTCATTGTTTGTGCACAACACCGAGTGCTCCATGCAGAACGTGCCCTCTTTAATACCCATCACCAGTCTAACCCATCCTCCCAGCCCCCTCCCCTCTAGAAACCTCAGTTTGTATTTCAGAGCCCATCGTCTCTCATGGTTCCTGTCCCCCTCTGA